TGCACGCACAGAAAACACGGCCACACCAGAGGGTGTGTTGGGGGGAAGGCAAATGTAGGTGGGGGGTGAGTTTTGCTTGAAGCGACCTCCAGAGGATGTTCTGCCGGCTCGGTGGAGAGGTGGATGTGGGAGTCAGTTGCAATGGCTGGTGGTTCTGCAGCCTTGAGGGGCTTCCTGCTTCCCTGTGCCTTTGCTTCTGCTCATTCCTCTGCCCGAGACCCTGCCAGCAGGTCCATGCCTGGGAAACCTCCCTTCCCGCCCAGGCACACAACCCCCCTGCCTCTCCATCTGTGTCTCTTTGCCTGTGTGGGCGCCTGCCCTGCACCGGCCTGCTGGGGGCTGGCACAGCATCCCCGCTCAGGACATAGATGGTGCTCGGCGCATGCTGGGTGGTCTGGGGAATGACGGAGCATCCAGGAAGCCCATGGTGGGGGGTGGGTAGGAGAACCTGGAGGACACGGAGATGTCCTCGTGCCCAGGTCCTTCTCCTACGCGGACAGCTATAATGGCGACATCCGATTTGACAACATCTACATCAGTACCTACTTTTGTCAGATCGATGAGCGCAGGAGGAAGCTGGTGAGTGAGCACAGCCCTGGCCAAGGGTGCCCTGCTGCACGTCCTCTGTGGCTTCACGCTCCAGGAGGGCAGAGGGGCAAGGGGAGGGGGCCCTGGTGTCCCTCGCTGGCTGAACATTTTATCCAGGGCAAACGGACATTGCTACCACTGCGCAAAGCCGAGAGGAAAACCGTCATCTTCCCCTGCAACCCCTCGGTGCAGGCCTCGGAGATGAGAAACGTGGTGAGGAGGCCTTGGGGGCGGGCCACGCGGGGCGGGGTAGGGGTATCGGAGAGGGCCCCGTGCAGGGCCCGCGGCGCTGCCCAGCTCAGGGCCTGCGGCTCCCCGGGCAGGTGAGGGAGCTTGCGGAGATGCTGCCCGTTCTTCTCCTGCTACTACTGCTGTGCGGCCTGGACCGGGCCCTCTACTCCGCCTTTGACACCATCCGCCATCACTCCTTCCTGCAGTACTCCTTCCGCAGTGAGCCCGCGCCCGCCCCAGCAGGGGGCCGCTGCCCTGACCCGGTGGGGGTCAGAACTCAGCCCTACCATCTGACACCTGTCCCTGGGGGCCTCCGTTTCCAAGCCTCCTTTATATCTGTAACAGGGAGTGAACGGATGGAAGGTCCCGCGCAGCAAGGGGTTTCTATGCCTTGACTCCCCCCCCCACAACATCCAGCCCCATCCTGCCCCACCCCCTAAACTGCGACCCTTTCCTGACCCCCCACGGCCTCAGGCAGCCACAAATTGGAGGTGAAAGTCGGGGGGGACTCCATGCTTGCCCGGCTTCTTCGGAAAACCATTGGAGCCCTGAACACGTCCTCGGGGACAGTGGTGCAATCAAACAACATGGGTGAGCGACGCTGAAAGTCTGGGTCAGAGGAACGGAGGGCGGGGGCCAGCGTCTTTCCAAGGCGTGGCAAGAGGGAGCTCTGCATGCTGGGGTTGCAAGGGTCAGAGCAGGAAGCATCAGGTCAGACTCAAGTTGCTGGAAGATGACAGCCTTGGGTCCAAGGGCCGTAGGGGCTGGGGCCTTGGGGACACAGGGTCCCAGCGCCCTAGAGCCACGCTGTCCAACAGAACTTTCTTCCACATCCGTGCCGTGCTGAGCAAATAGCCTCACGAGCCTGGTAGCTCCAGGCCAGAAGGGGCCGCTCTGCAGGGAAAGGGGCTGGCAGGAGCACAGCAGCCAGGGGGTGCCCTGCCCGCAGCCCTGGCAGAGCCCTGACAGACCCGCCCCGCCGCAGCCTGCCTGCCCCAGCCTGTGAGCCTGGACGCCAGGGCTTACGTGAGAGCTGCACTCCCCATCAGCCTGCTGCTGTGTCTCTGTCTGCTCCAAGCCTTCGCCTACCGGCTCCGGAGGGTCATCGCTGCCTTCTACTTCCCCAAGGTGCTCCCTCCCCCAAGCTCGCAGGCCTGCACCCAGCACCCCCCCAGCCTGAGGGGCGCACTGTCATACCACTGACCCCTCTCCCTGGCCCCAGCGCGAGAAGAAGCGGATCCTGTTCCTCTACAATGAGCTGCTGAGGAAGAGGGCAGCCTTTACGCAGCTGAGGAGGGCTGCCATCCTGAGGCGGGCACAACAGCAGAAGGCTCCAGTAAGTCCAGGCCTCCTTCCCGTGGCTCCTGTGGTTGTGAGGGCTGCAGCAGGGGCCTCTCCTGTCAGTCCGTCCAGCCCCAGGGGCCCAGGCCTACGGAGCTCAGCGAGTTCTGACGGGATGCATGCCAAGGGCCCTGGTCATCCAGCTCCTGGGGGTCAGGGCTGCGTCCACCTCTGTCCCCCAGGATTCAGCCCAGCCCGAGACACTCAGTGGGCCATCAGGAAGCAGGCAGAAAAGGGAAGTCCGATTTGATACGGTCTGGCTAAAAGAAAGCAAGGGGGCTCCTTCAGAAACAAGGGATGGGAGGCAAGCCACAGGATCTACTGAGTGTCTTTGGGGGAGGCAGGCAGGCTGGGGGGTCTGGAAGGCACCATGGAGGGTCTCATAGGATAAGGAAAAAGCACAGAGTCAGAAGAACCAGGTTCCAGTCCACACTTCCTCATTAAGCTGTGTGACCTTGGCCACGGTCCTCACCAGACCTCAGTGTTTCCCTCTGAAGGACAGGGAGCTTGGACAGATGTGTAAAGCCTGGTGCAAGGCCTGTGCAGAGATCAGCAACAGCGTGGCAGTGGGGTGCGGGCTGCTGGTGTCAGAGGACCTGGGTTTGAGTCCTGGCTCCCTTCTTTTTTTTAAATTTTTTTTTTAAGATTTTATTTATTTATTTGACAGAGAGAGAGAGAGATAGCGAGAGCAGGAACACATGCAGGAGGAATGGGAGAGGGAGAAGCAGGCTTCCCACCGAGCAGGGAGCCCAATGCGGGGCTCGATCCCAGGACCCTGGGATCATGACCTGAGCCGAAGGCAAACACTTAAGGACTGAGCCACCCAGGCACCCCCCCTTTTTTTTTAAGATTTTATTTATTTGACAGAGAAAGACACAGCGAGAGAGGGAACATGAGCAGGGGGAGTGGCAGAGGGAGAAGCAGGCTTCTGCCGAGCAGGGAGCCCGATGCGGGGCTCGATCCCAGGACCCTGGGATCATGACCTGAGCCGAAGGCAGTTGCTTAACGACTGAGCCACCCAGGCGCCCCCTGGCTCCCTTCTTTATTGCCATGACAACTGCGATCTGGAGGACTAAGTGCTAGGCCTTGGTTTTCCCTTCTGTAACCAGAGTGAGCTGCTACTCCATCTGGTTGTTGTAAGGACTAAGGGAATCTCACTCTTGTGGCACAGGCATCTAGCAAGTTCCATGCACATGCTAGTTGTCATCATGTGACCCTGGGCAAGTGACCGCCTTTCCAAGCATGTTTTCTCATCTGAAAGAGAAATGATAACAATGCCTGTCTTATGGGGTTACTGTTTGAGTGAGCTAATTTATTTACACTTTCTTAGTAGTACACTATGTACTACTAAGGACCCAACATTATTTAAAAAAAAAAGAAAGAAAAGAATGGCAGCCATTCTTAATCAGCCCCAACAGAGCTCGTGAAAGTGAGAGACCATCTTTGCTTGACTTTTCCTCCAGTGTCTAGATCCTCCACCCCATGACACAGAGAGGCTAAATGAGTATGAAAAAGTGAGCATACTGTGATTCCATGACCTGGTCGTGAAGGAAACTGGATTTGGGTAGGCAGGTGGAAATATGAAGGGCATTCGTCCCAAGCTAAGGGAACAGAATGTTCAAAGACTCACAGCCCAGAGGGAATGTCAAGGGCCGGGGCTAGTCTGAGAGGCTGGCACAGAAGATGCCAAGTTCAAGCTGGGGCAAGTTAGAGCAGAGGCTAGAAGGGGACCAGAGCGTGGAAGGCTCTGCAGGCCAAGGCCAGGAGTTCTGCCTTTGCAGTGGGGCCTCTGTGGTTTCGGTGGCCTGCAGAGAGGGTGGGAGCACAGTGAACCAGACCTGTCATCAGGAACCGGGACCGGGGCCAGCCAGGTTTGACTGCTTACTCTCTGTGCGCCTTGGGAACTCGCTTACCCCTCCCGAGATTCCGGGCTTTCCCGCCAGTAAAGCGGAGAACACAGCAGAGATAATCTCGCGCGCCCTACCACCTTCCCCGCCGACCGTGAGAACCAGATAAGGTGGTTTACAGGGAAGGAACAGGTGGTGGCTGGGGGAAGGAGCGGAAGCTGCACCCCATTCTCCATCCCCGAGACGGAGAGGGACGCTCTCTACACCCACTGCCCTAGCACCCTGGCCCTGCAGGGCGCCCAGCACGTGGGCGCTGCCTGGCGGCGCGCGGTCCGAAACCTCCCGCAGCCCTCTCTCCCACTCGCTCCCGGCAGCGCCACCGCCTGGCGGACGTCCTGCTCCGCGGCTGCCCGCTCCTGCGCCGCTGGTTGCGTGGGCACTGCGTGGTGTGCCAGGCGCCCGAGACGCCCGAGGCCTACGTGTGCCCGACGCCGGACTGCGCGGCCGTGTACTGCCGGCCGTGCTGGGACGACATGCGGCGGCGGTGCCCCGCCTGCACCCCACGCGAGGAGCTCTCGTCCTCCGCCTACAGCGACAGCAACGACGATGCCACCTACGCGGAGTGAGGGGGCGTCCTGTCCACCAGCTCCTCCGCGGTTAATAAAAGCCGGTACACTCCCCACGCCCGCGCTTCCCAGGGGTCTGACCAGCAGTCCGGAGACCCGGGCCGCCGACGTGACGCGGGAGGGCAGCCAAGCTGCGAGGAAAGGGTCCGGCCCCGGGCCGGGTGGAGGCGCGCCGCCCAAAGCCGGTCGGCCCGGGCCTCGGCTCCCACCGCGCGCAGCAGCGGGAACGCCGCAGTGGCGAGTGGCGAGTGGCGAGCGGCGCGGGCCCGGGCCCTCCGGGGGCGGGGCCGCGGCCTCCCCGGGGGCGGGGCCTGGCCAGGAGCCCCGGGGCGCGGGCAGGACGGGGCGGGGCCTGGTGGCTGCACAGCGCGGCGGGGTGCGCCAGGCAGACCCGGCGGCCGCGGCTCCTCGGCGCGCGGCCCAGCACCTGCTGCCCTCGCCCGGCCCGGGGCGCTGCTGCCATGCGGCTGGCGCTGCTCTGGGCCCTGGGGCTCCTGGGCGCAGGCAGCCCTCTGTCCCCCCGGCCGCTCCCATATATAGGTGAGTGCCTGGCCCTCAGTGGGTGGGGGGGGGCGGAGAACGGACCGGGAGGAGGCGCAGGGAAGCCAGGAGGCACTGGGGTCGGCTGGAGACTCGGGGAGACCCCCAACCAGAGCGCGGCCCGCCCTAGTTCACTGTCCTGGCTGAGGGCCCGGCGACTGGGCGATGGAGTGGAGAGAGGAGGGGGATGCTGCCCCCCCCCGCCCCCGCGCGGTCATCCTCTGCTCGGTCCCCGCGGACACTTCCAGGCTCCGGTGCCGGGCACCGAAGGCCCTGGCCCAGCGGCCCCTCAGCATGGTGGGACAGGGTCGCACCTCCCCAGGACTGACGTCTTCGCTCCTTTGGGGCCTAGCTGACCATTCCACCCGGTGCCAGAGCGCCGAGTGGTCACGGCCGGTAGGGTTTCGCGGAGAGGATTCTTCTTGGGCCCCCTTCCCAGGCCTGGAGCGGCCAACGCACCCCTCGCCCTGATGATGATGCCACCAGAAACCCGGCGGAGCGAGCGGGAGGGAGCGCGGGAGGAGCCAGGGGAGGGGAGAATTGGCCAGGAAAGAGGCTGACACCCGACTCCTCCTTGGAACTTTCACTTCCCGCTGCTGTCTCGGGCCAGGGGCTGGGAGGGCAGGCGCGGGTGGGCTGGCCTCAGGAGAGAGGGCCATTGTGGGGACGGGGGTGCTCAGGGAGGAAGCTGGGCTGCGGCGAACGGGTGTGCCTGACTGGGTAGGGGGGTGTTTAGGGAGGGGTGTTTGCACTGCGCACCCAGAAATGGGCGTTTCCGGCAGCTCCGCAGTGAGGACAAGGGAGGGCGAGTGGGCACCGGGCCACAGGGCTTCGCCCAGGCCTGAGAGGGGGCGTTCCTAGGGGGGGTGACTGCGAGGGAGTAGGAAAGGGGGCTCCCCGCCAGAACCTGGGATTCGCCCGGGGGGGGGGCTCAGGGAGAGGCGCAGGCAGGATGTGCAAGGTGGGGTGCTGGGAGGAAAGTTGGGAGCCGCAGAGAAGACCCTTCCCTTCGGGATTCTCCTTTTAAGTCCCAGCATGCAATGCAGGAGTCCTTCAAGCAGAGAAGGGCCCGGGTGCCCAGTGGGCACCGGCTGTGCTCAGCGCTGGTGCCTGCTCTCTCAGCACCCTCTCCGGGTGTTCTGGGCGCCCTGCAGGTGGCACTGAGGAGGAGCGGGCAAGGCCAGAGGGGGCCCTGGGTGGACCCTCGGAGCCCCAGATCCTTCCGGACATCCCGACACTCAGCCTCACAGAGGTGTTTCAGGTGAGCCGCCCTCTCCCCCAAGTGAAGAAGTACACCCCACAGAGCAGTGTGCTGGAGGACAGGTGAGTGGACCCCCGTGCAGCGCGGCCAGCCCAGGGCTGGCTGCCCCTCCCGCCAGAGGCCAGCACCTGGCTTCACTTATGCCCTCAACATCTGCCCCCACGCCTGCCCCAGCCTCCGCCCCAGCCAGCTGTCCGGCTCCCCTGGGGAAACCCTGAGGCCAGACTTGCTTTCGTGGTCTCATTCTGTCAGTTTTCTCCCCGGGAGAGTGGGGGGCTTGGGGAAGGTCAGGGCCTCACCAAACACCCCCCCTCCCCAATTCCAAAGCTGAGTCAGAGGAAGGGCTGGGGCCTGCACTGGGTCTTCCATGATGCTTCCTCTCTGGGCAGGAAGCCGAGAAGGGGCGGCTCAGATACCTTCCTTGACCTCCCCACACAACCCCCCAGAACAATGCCCCAGGCCGGGCAGGGCTTCCTGGCCCCTCCCTCGGGACCCCCCCACCCCCACCAGTGATCTAATCGTTGGTGCTCTCCGAAGGGCCTGAGGTTTTCTGGTTAGAAAGGATAGGCATTTCGGGCAGGGCCAGGGAGGTGACAGGCCCTCTGCTGCCCACAGGCCAAGCTGCCTGAGGCCTTGCGGATCCAGTTGGAATTGGATGGTGAGAGTCATGTTCTGGAGCTGCTACGGAACAGGTAACAACGCTAGTGGTCCCGTTAGTAATGCGGATAACGTGGCAGACAGCCATACAGCACTGACTGATGCTTGAACTCATAACAACCTACAGGGCAGGTACTATTCGCTATTACCGTCCTCATTTTATAGATGAAGAAGTCAAGGCACAGAGAGGTTAACTAACTTGCCCAAGGTCACACAGCTAGGATGCAGTAAAAACCAGATTAGAACACAGAGAGCCGGGCAGAGTTTGTGACCCAACCACTATACTCTGCTGCCTCTGGGGGAAGCCCAGCCCCCAGCCCCCCCTCTACCACCTCTCAGGCCTCCAGGCTGTTCCTGCACCCCCCCCCCCGGGGAGGTAACTGTCACCGCTTTGCTTTTTCTTCCCAGGGAGCTAGTCCCAGGCCGCCCGAGCCTGATGTGGTACCAGCCTGACGGCACCCGTGTGGTCAATGTGGGACACACTCTGGTGAGTCTTATGTCCTGTTTCTGGCCTAAGGGAAGAAGGCAGGGGCCACCGGGAGGGTGCCATCGCTCCAGGACGTGGGAGGACAGCACGTATCTTCACCAGCAGGCTAGCCTCCTGGTCTCCAGCCTGGCCTTCAAGGTAGCACTGCTATTTCTCTGCTGTAGGAGAACTGCTGCTACCAGGGAGTGGTGCAGGGCCGCGTGGGCTCCTGGGTCTCTGTCTGCACCTGCTCAGGGCTCAGGTACCGAGGGTGCATCCCGTGTGGGTGGGCACAGTGAGGGTGCATGAGGCATGGAGCTGAGAGGCTTTCTGACTTTCGCTGGATCTTCCCAGGGCTTTGGTGATCCTGTCCCCAGAGAGAAGCTACACCTTAGACCTGGAGCCTGGGGACCTTCGGGCCCCCCCAAGTATCTCCCGGATCCAAGACCTCTTCCTGCCAGGCCACACTTGCGCCCTGAGCTGGCGTGCATCTGTGCCCACTCAGACTCCCCTGGAGCCACCCCGGGGAAGGCTCCACAGCCACACTCATCGGGTGAGGACGAACAGTGGGCTTTTGTTGTCCCCGAGGCCCAGGCCCCAGATGCTCAGAGCCCTGTGTTCCCAGAACCTTCTAAGGAGCAACTGTCCACACCCCTGTGGGAACATAATCTCCTTTCCTCTTCCCAGCAATGCTGGGAGGTATGTCCTATCAGTAGCTCCATTTTAGTGAGAACACCGGCTCGGAGAAGTTAGTGACTTGCCCAAAGTCATTCAACTAGTGAATGATATATCCAGGATTTACATGCAGGTACTTGACCCAAACTCCATATCTGTCAGAAGATCCCCGAACGCAGAGAGCAGTCACTTGGCTAGAGATAATACAGTTACCAGTCATAAAGCAATATGAGTCCAATCTCCTGGTTTATAAAATGGGGATGATAGGGGCGCCTGGGGGGCTCAGTCGGTGAAGCGTCTGCCTTCGGCTCAGGTCGTGATCCCAGGGTCCTGGGATGGAGCCCCGCATGGCGTCAGGCTCTGTGCCCAGCAGGGAGCCTGCTTCTCCCGCCCCCTCTGTCCCTTCCCCTGCTTGTGCTCTCTCGCTCTCTCGCTTTCTTTCTGTGTCTCAAATAAATAAATAAAATCTTAAAAAAAAACGGATAATAAAACTACTTACCTTTCAGGGTTATTGTGGAGATTAACTGAATCTATCTATTTATCTATATATGCACAGTGCTTAGAACTGTGCCTAAAGTGTGGTAAGTATATGATGGTGTTGACTATTATTTTTTTGTTTATTTTTTAAAGCTTATTTATTTATTTTTTAGTAATCTCTACACCCACTGTGGGGCTTGAACTCACGACCCCGAGACCAAGAGTCTCACGCTCTACCAACTGAGCCAGTCAGGTGCCCCTATTATCTTCTTTTTAATTTGGAAAAGGCACTGAATTTGGAGTTAGAAAAGCAGGCTCTACTCCCAGCTACATGACCTACTCCTGGGTCTACCTTGGGCAATTCGCTGGCCTCACAGGCTCTCGGTGGTTCATGTGTAAAATGGGCTCTCTGCTCTCCTCCGGCCCGGCTGCTGAGCGTGAGCAGTGCTGAGCCTGATGCTCCTCCTTCTTGCCCACAGAGGCGGCGGGACGTGGTGACGGAGACCAAGACTGTTGAGCTGGTGATTGTGGCTGACCGTTCGGAGGTGAGCTGGCCCGTGCACGTCCTCCCCTTGCCCCCACCTGCCCTGCAGCTTTTCCTGCTCACTTCTGGGGCCCGCAGGTCCAGAGGTACCCGGACTCCCAGCACCTGCTGAACCGCATGCTGAAGGTGACCCTCCTCCTGGACGCCGTGAGTGCCGGGTGCTGCGCCGGGAGTGCCGGGTGGGGCAGCACCCTCGCGGCCCTCTGACCCCGGGGCCCGTCTCCTGAGCCCCGGTTCTTTCAGTTCTTCCGGCCCCTGAACGTGCGGGTGGTGCTCGTGGGCCTGGAGGCCTGGACCCAGCGGGACCTGGTGGAGATAAGCCAGGACCCAGGTCTCACACTAGACAGGTTCCTCCACTGGCGCCGGAGAGATTTGCTGCCTCGACTGCCCCACGACAGTGCCCAGCTGGTGACGTAAGCCCCCCCTCCCCCGGCTCTGCTCTGGCCTGGCCAGGGTCACACCCCCTCCCTATCTGAGGCCCTGAAGCTCTGGACCCCTTGGCATCGGGCCTGACTTTGGCCTCATGATCCCACAGCGCTACTTCATTCTCTGGGCCCACGGTGGGCATGGCCATTCAGAACTCCATCTGTTCCGACTTCTCTGGAGGTGTGAACATGGTGAGCTATTTCAGGTCTCCTCCCTATTCCCAGTTCAGTTCCTCCCCACTGGAGGGCCGCTGATTCACTGAAAGCCCTACAAAGTTAGCAACCCCAGAGCTGTGGGCATGGGGGCAGGACTGTATGACACATGGCCTCTGTAGTCGTGACACCCTCTCCTGTGGCCAGCTCACCGCTTTACTGGTCTTCACCTATTTCCTGGGGGAGGAGGGCGTAGCCAAGCCCAAAGAAGAGAGGCGTGTGCCCAGGGCCACACAGTAAGGGAGGGGCACAGAGCTGAGCGAGCCCCCCCCCCCTTTCCTGCCACCCAGGCCTGGGCTCTCCTACTTTAGAAGCAATTAAGGAGGGAGGCGGTGCTGAGCGCCCCGGAGGTCAGATGAGGAGAGAACAGGAGCAGTCAGGCTGCTGCTGGACCTGGGGTGTCCCCTCCCCAATGCCAGGACCACTCCACCAGCGTCCTGGGAGTTGCATCCTCCATAGCTCACGAGTTGGGCCACAGCCTGGGCCTGGACCACGACTTGCACGGGCAAAGCTGTCCCTGCCCGGGGCCGGCCCCTGCCAAGAGCTGCATCATGGAGGCCTCCACCGAGTGAGTCCCTGCAGGGGGCGCGGGGAAGGGGCGGGAGGGCAGGGCCCGAGGCCGCCCGCAGCCCCAACCTTTCTTGCCACGGTCCCCAGCTTCCTGCCGGGCCTGAACTTCAGCAACTGCAGCCGGCAGGCCCTGGAGAAAGCCCTGCTGGAAGGGATGGGCAGCTGCCTCTTTGAGCGGCTGCCCAGCCTGCCCTCTCTGGCCACTGTCTGCGGGAATAAGCTGCTGGAGCCGGGCGAGCAGTGTGACTGCGGCTTCCCGGATGTGAGCCCCTCCCCCCAAGCCTGGCCCCACCCCCTCCTGGGCCCTCACCCTGGCTCGCCGCCCCTCCGCGAGAGTCGGAGCGCCGAGCCCCTCGGGCCCCTCTCCGCAGCTCCCCGTCTGTCTACGGGGACAGCACAGGCTATGTGGGCCCCCAGCTTCTACTTGCTGTGTGCGTCCTTGGAGAGCAGGGGTGGGACGGGCTCTCAGGCCTGGCCCGCTCCAGCTCGGGGTCCCTCTGCCCTCAGGACTGCACCGACCCCTGCTGTGACTACCTCAGCTGCCAACTAAGGCCCGGGGCGCGGTGCGCGTCCGACGGGCTCTGCTGTCACAACTGCCAGGTGGGCGCCGACGGGACCCGCCAGGGCTCAGGGCGGAAAGGTCGTTCGGGTGGACCCGCCCAGCACCCACACGGATGCTCCCTCTACCCCGCAGCTGCGCCCGGCCGGCGGGCAGTGCCGCCCGTCCAGAGGGGACTGCGACTTACCCGAGTTCTGCTCAGGAGACAGCCCACAGTGCCCTCCCGATGTCAGCCTGGGAGACGGCGAGCCCTGCGCTGGGGGCCAGGCCGTGTGCGTGCGGGGGCGTTGTGCCTCGTACGCCCAGCAGTGCCAGGCTCTCTGGGGACCTGGGGCCCGGCCCGCCTCGCCACTTTGCCTCCTTGCTGCCAACACTCGAGGGGATGCTTTTGGGAGCTGTGGGCGCAGCCCTAATGGCAGCTACGTGGCCTGTGCCCCTAAGTAAGTGAGGATCCGGGGCTCCCCTCTGGGTTTGTGGGAGCCTTGGCCTGACCCCCCCCCCCCCGCCTCCTCCCTGTTACCTCAGAGACGCCATTTGTGGGCAGCTCCAGTGCCAGGGGGGGCAGGCCCAGCCTCTGCTCGGCTCAGCCCGGGGTCTGCGCTGGGAGATGCTAGAAGCCAACGGGACCCAGCTGAAGCTGAATTGCAGCTGGGTCCACCTGGACCTGGGCGACGACGTGGCCCAGCCCCTGCTGACTCTGCCTGGCACAGCCTGTGGTCCTGACCTGGTGAGCAGTCCCAGTAGGCAAGGTCAGAGGGAGGGCTGTCTGCACGAGCAATGCCCAGGCCTCAGGGTCCACCAGTGTAAAAGGCAGACTCTCCCGGGGCTGGGGCGGGGGGGGGGCGGGGCGGTCAGGGTCACACTCCTGACTGAGCAGTGTCCTGTCATCCTGGCAGCCTCGGTTTCTCCCTCTGTAAGAGCAGGGCTGTGGCCTGCCAGTGCCTGTGACACTTTGTGAGGCTGTGACCTTGGTTCTCTCTCCACCCCACCCCCCCGGCAGGTGTGCATTGACCGCCGGTGCCAGCCCGTGGACGTCCTGCGAGCCCAGGAATGTCGAAGCAAATGCCACGGACACGGGGTGAGCGGGCGTGGCAGACACAGAAGGGGGCAGGGAGACTCCGGGAGGCAGACAGTGTTGGGCGTGGGAAACACACACCTAGGTTCTAATCCTCGCTCTACTCCTTCCTAGCTGTGTAGCAGGGGGCGGATGATTAACCATTCTGAGCTCAGTTTCCTCAGCTACCCAGTGGGCGTCCTGGGGTCCCAGAGATGGGGATGAGAGGGTCTAGCACAGTGCCGGCATGGAGAAGGCGCTCCTGGGCTGGTTCGGTTTCATTTCCTCGGGCATGGACACCGGCTCCGTCTCTCCACCCCGCCATCCCCAGCATACCTTCCAGCTGTGGACAGAGGAGATCCTGAAACGCTGGCGGCAGGGAAATGCGGCCCCAGAGTGTAGGGCCCCTCATCGCTCAACCTCTATCCCCTAGGTCTGCGACAGCAAAGGACATTGCCACTGTGAGGCGGGCTGGGCCCCCCCTGACTGCACCAACCGCGTCAGAGGTAGCTGGGGGCAGCAGGCAGGGGCAGCTGGGAGGGCTTCGTGGCTCCCCATTTACCGCCCCCCCTTCCTCTGACCCTTTCCCATTCTCAGTTTTACCTCCGTCCCTGCCCTCCACCCCTTCCTGAGTGTAGGATTCTTAGCCCTGCCCACCTTCAAACCTGCCCTCACCCCACAGCAACCAGCTCCCTGACCACAGGACTGCCCCTCAGCCTCCTGCTGTTGGTGGTCCTGCTGCTGCTGGGGGCCAGCTACTGGCACCGCGCCCGCCTGCGTCAACGGCTCTGTCAGCTCAAAGGACCCAGCTGCCAGTACAGGTACCGGCCTCCTTGCCCCCGACTCCCTCAACAGCTCTGCTGAAGACTGGCTCCGCATCCTGTCCCCAGGCCTGCTGCAGCGCCGCACACCGGGCTCTGACCCCCAGCCCCTTGGGCCAGCCCACGCACACCTCGCTCCCCTCCACGTGCCTTGTCACTCCTCACCTCACACCCAGACCCACCCAGGAGCCCTGTGCTGAGTAGGTGGGGGCCTCCCTCAAGCCCCTCAGCCCCCCTCCACTTCTCACTGGGCCTCAACTACACTCGAGCTGTTCTCCAAGGGGCTACAAAGGGTCAACCCCACTCAAGGGTGCCGTGTGGGTGGGGAGCGTGGTCTGACACTGGGCCCTCTCCCTCCTTGCTTTTCTTCATGTCCAGGGCAGCCCAGCCTGGTCCCCCAGAACGCCCAGGACCCCCGCAGAGGGTCCTCCTGATGCCAGGGGCCAAGGTAAGTCATGCAGACCAGAGGAGAGAGGCCCCACCTTGCCCAGGCATTCAGCGTGGTCCCTGGGGTGGGGGCACTGAAGGCCCTAGACTCAGAGAAAGACTCCCATTGCCCACGAGCCAGTCAGGAGTCGGGGCCAGCCCTCCCCTACGCTCCCCTGGCTGCAGGCCCAGAAGCAGAGTCCAGCCTGGACTGGGGAGGGACATCACCTAGAGGAGGGCCAAGCTGGTGGTTCTGAGAGGTGGGTCTGCTGGTGCTCCCAGCAGGGGCCCCTGGAGGACAAGGGGGGTGGTGCTCAGAAATGGCCTTCAGGCGCCCGGACCTGATGAGGCCCCGGTCACCGTGTGTGGAAGGCTGGCGAGTGCTCCGCCAGCCCCTGGAGCTGATGACAGGGGTGTGTGTGGAGGCGGTCCGTATGCTCACTCCACCACTTGTCACCCCCTCTGCATGCAGCCCAGCAACTGCATGCGCGGCCCCCCACTGACCCTGGGGCCCTGGCAGCCCCCCCCCAGGCACTAACCCCCCTCTGCCCACATCTGTGTCCGCGCTCCCTCCCCCGACCCCACCCACCCCGATCCCGCTGTCTGCTCCCCATGCTCTCTCAGCAGGCCAGTATTCTTGGCTTCCCGGCACCCCCCTCCCGGCCGCTGCCTCCTGACCCTGTGCCCAAGAGACTCCAGGTAAATCCGGGCCAGGCCCTGCCCTGGCCCAGGGCAGGTGGGAGGCTTGGTGCCCCACTGCAGTTCTCACCCCTGTTCCCTGCCAGTGGCGCTCTTCATTAGGGGACCAGGGTGCCCCTCAGCCGTCAGACAGCCCCAGCAGCAGCAAAGGGTGAGCCTCCTGCCTTGGTTTCTACCACCACCTGGTGGTCAGTGGCAGGACTGCAGCTGGCCTGGGACACCACTGTGACCCATACCTTCCTCCCGTGAGAGTTCTGCGGGCAGGCGCCCAAGCCCTGTGCGCATGTCCCCATTCTCACCTGCCCCCTGGCTGACTTTGCATGTTGAACTGAACCCCTGGAGAGAACCACTGCATGCCCACTGGCCCCTGGCTGTGCTCACAGCGCTGCCCCTCTCTCTGTTCAGGCTGAGCTGGCTGACCGGCCCAATCCCCCCACCCGCCCTCTGCCCGCTGACCCCGTGGTGAGGCACCCGAAGGTAACATGTGGGGAGAGAAGGGTGCAGCCTCTCCCCCACCCAGGGCTGTGGTGCTAATAGCCCTGGCAGTCGTGGCCATGATGAGATACCCCCTCTGTGCATGAGGACACATACCCTGGTGTCCTTTAACGGTGACAGGTTGGTTTGGAACAAAGGTGACCTCTGGAGCCGGCCCCACAAGCTGGTGCTCCCCAGCAACAGGGGTGGGCAACACGACACCCCCTCCCAAGCCAGCCTCCCGCTTTCTTTCTCAGTCTCAGGGGCCTGCCAAGCCCCCACCCCCGAGGAAGCCACTGCCTGCCAACCCCCAGGGCCGGCGCCCTTCGGATGACCTGCCTGGCCCAGGAGCTGGAATCCCGCCCCTAGTGGTACCGTCCAGGTGGGTGCGGGGGATGCCAGCGCGGGGCGAATGGTCTGGGGAAAGGAGGACCTCTGACTCTGGCCTTTTTTTTCTCGATTTCCCGCACCCCAGGCCTGCGCCACCGCCCCCAGCAGCGTCCTCGCTCTACCTCTGACCTCTGCTGAGGTTCCGCTGCCTGCAAGCCGGACTTAGGACTTCAAGAGGCGGACTTGTCCCTGGAGTCCCCCGCGATGACTGAAGGAGCCGGAGCCTGGACACGGCGGAGCAGGCAGCCTAAGACCCCGGGCACCTCCACGCGCCGACGAGCAGCACCCTAGGGACCAGCCCACGCAGTTGCAGCTGGGGGTGGGGAGGGGCTGGGCGCCGTCCTGGTCTGAGGGAGGTGCACACAGCCTGTCCCTGCTCTGGTGCAATAAACCTGAGGTCTGGGGAGCGTGCCTCGGACTTTGTCTGCTCAGGGAAGGCCGGGTCGACCTGCTGCGGTTCCAGGTCTGGCCGCCAGGAGACGCTGCCGCCTCGGACGTAGGCAGGCTAGGGAGGGCGAAGAGTCCCAGGCTGGGTCAGCGTGTGTGTCCCCGGGATGCTCGCTGCTGGTTTCTGCCCAGTCTGGGATGACTCTGCGCAATCCAGTATCCAGGGAGTTGTAAAACCGCGTGCCGCCCCCAGCCGCCAAGTCCTTGCGCCCAAGTGTGCGCGGCCCCCAGAGGCGGCTATCCACGAACCGGCCCAGCTGTTTGACCCGCCGTCCCCACCCTCTGACCAGTAGCTGGGAAAAGTGGATCTGGCTGCTGTTCTCAGAGCCCTGGAGCCGGGGCGGAGCGGGGCGGCGGCTCCCACGATCCCAAGGCCGTGCACCTGCCTCCTCCCCCTCCCCTGCCCCACCTGAGGGCTTGGGAACAAAGGTGCTTTGTACAGGACGCAACCACCTCATTATTTCGACTTCGGGAATGGGGCCGCGTGGGCCCCCAGCCCAGAATGAAGGTGTGGGGCGGAAAGGGACAGGCGCCAACCCCAAGGTGGGCACTAAGGCTCCGTAAGGGGGGAGGAGGGAGAGGGTGAGGGACGATCTGTCGCAGGAGGCGATCTGTCCCTTCCACTCGCGCTATCCCTGAAAAGGCAAAAAGGGGCAATATGCTAAGGTGGAGCTGGACGGGCTTCGTGGGTCCTCGCCTGTGCCTCACTTTTTCCTCTTTCTGGCCAAAGGCCGTGTGCTCCTATTTAAATCTTCCCAATTTGTAATAAGTCTTCCTACCTACCCGGTACTAACGCAGACACGAAAGACGCGACCTCCCTAAAACGAACTCCCCGACAGTGGACTGCGTCGCCCCTCCCGCCCCCTCGTGACACGGTGCAGCCCCGGTGGGAGCGCGGCGAGCCTGGCGCGCGCCTCGGCGCACACAGGGTTAACAGGAGTTGACTCCGAGCGGGGAGGCGGGGGTGCGCCCCCATTGGTGGAAAGTTACCCGGAGGCGTGGCCTGCGAGTCTCCGCACCCCACCCCCAGTTCCGCACCCCCCCCCCACCTCCACTTTGTACCTTTCTCGCGGCGGCAGAGAAGCGGGCCGGGACCGGCCGGACCAGACCAGAGCGGACCCCGGGGGCGATGCGGCTGCTGCCCCTGCTGCGGACTGTCCTCTGGGCCGCGCTCCTCAGCTCCCCGCTGCGAGGGGGCTCCGGCCTCCGCCACGCTGTCTACTGGAACTCCAGTAACCCCAGGTAGCCGGGCCGAACGCGGCCGACGGCGGCCCGGGCCTGCGCGCTCCCGGGCCGGGCGCGCGCCCGACTCTCGCTCTGTGCGCGGCGCCGCCTGGCCCGGGCCGCGCGCCGGGGCTCCTTTGTTTGAGCCGGCGGGGGAGGGGGAGGGGAGGGGCGAGGCGCGCCCGGGGCTCCCCCCCGCCCGCACGTGTTGGGGGGCGGGCGGAGGACCCCAGCTCTGAAGGCGGAAGGTGGGCGCTCCGAGCCCCGCCCCCTCGCTTTTCCCTTCTCTCCTGCTGTTCTCCTCCACCTCCGAGGTGGGGCGGGCGGTCTGGAGAGGGAGGGAGGGGGCTTCACGCTTGAGAAAGAGCGTGGTTTACTCTTCTGCTCGCCTGGCCTCCTGAGCTCATTCACTATCTCTGCGTTCATCTCCGTCATTCTGGGTCCTTCTATTTCTGTCCATTCTCGGCCCTGCCCTTCCAGCTGAATCACCTTCGGGCAAGTCGTTTGACTCCCTAACCTCAGTTATCTCATCTGTAAAATGGGCTAATAACACCTGGTACCCTGAGAAATCAGGCGGGCTGACCGAGGTCACATGTGTGAAAGAGGTGCAGCCTGTACAGATAAATTATTATTTCTTTCTCCCGAGCCTTTGAACCTCAGTATTTTTGACTGTTTGCATTTTCCTCCCCAGTTCTCCCTGTCTCTCTGCTTTCTCCATCTGTTTGCCTTTCTGATTTTCTACTTGAGACAATCTGTGACTCTGTTCATTTGTTCACTCACCAACATTTGTTACGCAGGACGTGTGCTAGGATGCTGGATATAGAGAGAGAAGCCCTCAGCTTTGGCTTCTGGGAGCCCAGAGACCCCCCGGGGAGGGCAGGCATCAAGACAGGTCATTACAATGCTGATGCCACGTGATAACAGCTATTGTCCTCCCAGCTCCGAAGCCCTCTCTCTGTTCCAGACCAGTGCCTCTGAATCACTTGGAGAACTTGTTAGAAATTCAGGTTCCTAGCCCCCAACCCCGAGGTTTCTGGCCTGTTCATTCAATCTGCAAATATTTATTAAGTGTTTGGGTAGGACACTTTTCCAGGCACTGGAGATGCTGCAGAAATCATACCAAGGCCCAGCTTGTGTTTGAGTGTGTCTGAGCTGAGCCCAGGAATCTGCATTTCTGATCAGAACTCCAAATGCAGGTGGTCCTTAGACCACCCATTGAGGGATAGTTAGAGGCCTTTCACCGTCATGCTAGACCGCGTGGATGGTCGGGAAGGGGGAAGGTGCTTCGCAGTGTATAGCGTTGTGGGGCCAGCCTGTCCCAGCCCTTCCCGCCTGTCCTGGCTCCCATAGGCAGCTCCCAGGAGGTAGGGAAGGGAGTCCTGAGTAGGCCAAAGATGAACTGATATCTGGAGGGGCCTCCCCCATCCACAGCCTCCCCTTCCTCCCTTCCTTCCTTCCTTCCTTCCTTCCTTCCTTCCTTCCTTCCTTTCACTGTGACATTCTTCTTAGTATTGCATTTAGATCCCGAAAGCTGTCTCCCTCTCTCTGCCTCTGCTGATGAGGGTACGGTTCCTGGCGTCCATGTCTGCGGCCGTGACTGCGCTGCGGGCCCAGATTTGTACCCCTCGTCTCTGCACCCCAGCTTCTTGGCACCTGACATGTACCAAGTGCAGAGTGCTCTGCCAGGCGCTCTGTTGGGCACTGGGGCTGGAGAGCTGGCGGCAGCTCCAGCCTGAAAATGTAGGGTCTGGAGAGTGGCCTTCTCAGGCTTGAGCACGTGGTTATGGGCACTGTAGTCCCTTCACCTCTCAATACCTGCAAACTGGTTACTGCCCCCGCCCCCCCACGTCTTGACTCTGTCTCTCAAGAGTTGCTAGGTTGGGAAACTCGGGACTTGCTGAGCTGCTCCCTCTCCAGTGGGTAGGGGAGAGGCCGGCAGGGACCACCGGGGCCCTCACGCCCCTGGGGAGCTGCACCGTGCCCCTTCAGCACGCACCTGCCTTATGTCTGCAGGCTGCTTGGAGGAGACGCCGTGGTGAAGCTGGAGCTCAACGATTACCTAGACATCTTCTGCCCGCACTATGAGGGGCCGGGGCCCCCTGACGGCCCCGAGACGTTCGCTTTATACATGGTGGAGCGGCCAGGCTATGAGGCCTGCCAGGCCCAGGGGCCAGGCGCCTTCAAGCGCTGGGAGTGCGCCCTCCCCTTCGCTCCCTTTGGCCCAGTTCGATTCTCTGAGAAGATTCAGCGCTTCACACCCTTCTCCCTCGGCTTTGAGTTCTTGCCTGGAGAGACCTACTATTACATCTGTGAGTGAGGAGGGGCACGCTGGCTGTCCCGGGGCGGGCGGGGGAGGGGGGCATCCTGCCATCGCCACAGGTGGTCAGAGGGCCTGAGGTGGGGCCTGGGAATGAAGGGGGGGGGACCTGAGTCTACTACTGAGTAGGGGGACATCCAGGGGAGTCTGTAGAGAGGAGGGGAAAGCAAGAGGAGGTAGGAAAGGGGCTGTGGTGGAAGGCACGGCCGGGGCCTGGCACCAGGGTATGGACCAAAAGTGAGGGGAAGCTCCCCAGCGAACTGCAGGGAAGACGAACGGGAAGGGTCTGAAGCCGTCCGGGGCGTGCAGGCTAGCTTGTGCTAACTTCTTCCTCCCAATTTCCCACCACCCAGCGGTACCAACTCCCGAGAGTTCTGGCAAGTGCTTGAGGCTCCAGGTGTCTGTCTGCTGCAAGGAGAGCAGTAAGTGGGTCGGGGTGCGGGGAGCCACCCTTCTGGTGGGTGTGGGGCCCTTGGAGTGAGGGAAGCCGTGGGGAGAGTCTGGGAGCATCAGACCCTGAGGGGTCCAGGTGGGGCTTTTAGCTGTGCCTCTGATCCCCCATTTATCTCTGTGGGAGCTTCCACTCTGCCCCTTTATGCTGGGCCAAGGAGATGGCATCTCCAGGGCAGTATCCTTCGAGGCCTCAGCCACGGTGGACTGGGAGTGAAGAGGCCAGGGGCAGGGCAGGAAGGAGGCTGCTGAAGGGGAGGGTCCCTCAGTGCTGCCCTCCCTCACAGAGTCGGAGTCAGCCCATCCTGTTGGAAGCCCAGGAGAGAGTGGCACGTCAGGGTGGCGAGGGGGAGGTGCTCTCAGCCCCCTCTGTCTCTTGCTGCTGTTCCTGCTGCCAATTCTGCGCCTCCTGCGAGTTCTCTGAGCCAAGCAGACCCCTCCTGCTACGCCCAGGAGCCAGAGCCCTCCCGAGACTCCCTGGAGGAGGGGCCCCTGCCGCTCGAGCTGGGAGCAGTCAAGCCAGCCAGACCAACGGAAGAGTGATGGGGAGGTCAGAGGGTCTGAGGTGACCCTTCCAGGGGCTGGCCCCTTATCACAGGCTGAAGGGGAGCTGCATACAGCCCTGGGCACCCTGGAGCCCAGGCAAGGCAAACATAGGGTCTCTGTCAGCTGCTTTGACGTTCTCGTCCTGTCGCCCCCAGAAAGACTGGGATTTGGTGGGACTGAATCCTTGAGTCTGTTGGGGCCAAGACCGAAGACCTGGGGACAGGTGGATTGCCAGACCAGGGCAAGGGAGAAGGCCTGCCATCTGTGCCCAGTACCCTGTGGGCCTCTTCCCTGGGGCAGCATCTTCCCCTCCCCAGGGGGTCACTCACTTGTCTTCTATGAAGACGGACTTTGCTGTGAGGTTGAATATCATGCCAGTTTGTATTTTTATAAGTGTCCAGACCAAACCCTCAATAAACCACCCAACTTTCGGTTGCTCTCCCCCATCTACACCCTCTGGCTCCTTCCGTGACCCCAGGACGCCCCGCAGCCTCTGCTCTCAGCTCCACTTGGCCTGACCTCCATGTCAGCTCCGCCCAGGCCATCCATTCTAGGCGGCCGTGGGCACCCTCTGGGCAGTGTGCGGTGGGTGCCAGCAGCAGCTGTAGAGCTTGGCACTCTCTCCCACCTCCCTAGCCGGCTTCCTGAGCTGAGGAGGGGGCAGATGCTCCCGACAGCCCACCCACGTGGGGCAGTGCCCAAGCCCTGGTAGCACCAAGCAGGGCGTTGGGGCAAACGCCAGGGCCGCTAGAGAGTTTCAGAATGCCTGGGTCCCTGCGAGCCGGACATCCTTCCCCCTCCCCAAGGACAGTCTGGGCGGTGCCTGGTCTAGAACTGGGAAGGTGGGGTCAGATCAAAGCCTCCTTCCCCAGCGGCTTCTTTGTTCTTCGCTTTTATAAGGAGGAGGGGGTGGGGCCGAGGAGGGAGGGCCCCCTTTGCTCTCAGCCCCACACCGTCTCTCCCACCTCTGCCAGGCGAGGCTATGATCCGCCCCCCCAAACCCCACCAGAGCCCTCTTTCTGAACGGTGTCCTGGGTGGAGCCAGGGTGAGGGGTGCCCCTCCCCCCGCCGCCGTGCCCCACCCGCCCCGGTGCCCCGCAGCCTCCACTGGCACCGTGCCGTCCCGCCTGGCACCGAGCCAGCGATCGATAGGTGGACGTTGTGCTGATTAGCTCGGCCCGGCTGCGGCAGCGAGAGGCGGCGTGTGAAGCCGCGGGGGGCGGGAGACTGACAGACGCCGGAACCCTGGAAATCGCGGACCCCTCCCCCACCCCTTCACACCCCGTCAGACCCAGCCCGCTCTCGTTCGTTCCACTGCTCTGCCCGAGGGGTGGAGGACGGCACCGCAGGCGGAGCAGACGCGAGTCGACCCCTTCCCCCATTCGAGGCCGGGTCAGAAAGCGCCGCGTCTGTAGGTGCACGTGCCTGCGCGTCCGCGCGTCCGCGCGTCCGCGCCCTCGGCCCCCACCGCGCTCTTCAGCCGACGCCGAGGGGCTGGGGCGCCCAGCGGGCGGCGTCTGAACTCGAGCATGAGCTGCGGCCCGGCCTTCTGGTCCTGGGTTCGAGTTGCGTCTCTCCTGTCATCCAGGAGGGGGTCCTGGGTCGCCGTGGAA